AGCCATGTTGGCTGGGGAATTCTGGGTGTTGAAGTCCACGCATCTTAGAGTTGCTAAGGTTGAGAAACTGAGCACTACAGCCTATGAATAGGTACACTATCACAAATGAACTGATTCTGAAATACACGGAGGATCACCTGACATCTTGTGGCTTAAGATGTATTTCCCAAGAGACACTTTCCACAAGTCTCGAGTTCAATTCAGTGTAGTGCTGCAAAGTTTAAAGATCTCCCGTACTGTGTAAAATTGTGTTTAGCTAGGTGACTCTGCAAAATAAGCTGTAAATTGATAACGCCATGTAAATAAATGAGCAGTGCTGCTGCTTCAGAATATATTGTAGAGAAATGAACATTAAGTCTTTAAGTTGTTATGGGACCCAGGGGGCTATTATTCAAATATATAACCCTACAGACTAAATATAAGACAACATGGTTTTGTATTTTTATTTTCTGTTTGTTGGGGATTCGGTCAAGTGTTAAGAAAAGGCAGCCTGCCAAAAATACAGGTACCAGGTCTTTTCCCCATCCAGGACCACCGGCAGCTCTGCAGCTCACACATGGATCTTCTATGGGAAAGGAAGAAAATCGTTGTGAATTCCGATTACCTCTGCGGGCCAGACGTGCTGTATTTTGTCCCCTTTCACGCTTAACAATAGATGCAATCAACTTTGGTTTCAAAGCATCCCTAGTAAAGTTAGTGTAATTTTTATAAGCCCACCAATTCCACCCACCCACCCGAAGGCAGATGGCTTGCTGCTTGCACGGCACCTGTGACTGCGGAAGGGGCGGGGGGATCATCGCTGTGAGGCTAGGAGAAAAGAATCACGCATCGCCCCCGCATCCCTTGCTCACCACATCATTCCTACTCACTCCCCTCCACTCCAGCTAGGGAGAGCCCGGCCTGCCACCACGTGAGCTTTTGCCTAGGACCTCCTCTTCGTGAGCATACAGAGTAGCGGGGCGGAGTTTAGCCCGGTTTTTCTCCTCCCCGACCTCAGTAATGTCAGATCCGCTGCAGAAGCGCGGCAGACCCTGCAAGGGGGGAGGAGAAGGAGGAGGAGGACACGCCGCGCGGCTGGCTCGGGTTCCCCCCGCTTCTGTTGTCGAAGAGGTGAACCACAGGGCAGGACGGCAGGCTTGTTAAAGAAGATCGCCCTCTTTTGCGCAGGGACGGAGACGACTCCCCAGCCCTCCCCACAGCGATTTTTCTTTTTACTCCCGAGCGTCAACGCCTTCAGTCCAAAACGGTGCCGGCTGCCGGCTTCCAAGCGGGAGAAGCCCGAGGCGGAACAAAGGAGAGAAAGGCCACCCGTGCCGCTTGCCACCAGCCAGGGGCAGCGCGGTTGGGCGAGAAGAAGCTTGCGAGCGAGGACATTTTCCCGAGGAGACCGACATTGCCAGCCAGCGGTGCGGGAGGGAGCCTGACTTGGGATCCCTCCTCTCCCCTCGCCGTGCCGTGCGCCGGGGGTGATTTTTGATTCGCGCAAACAGGAAGGGGGGTGGATCGTTCTCGGATAGGATCCCGTTTTTATTTTCGGTCAATAAGACCTGAAGGTTATTGTGAAAGCGAGGGGCCTCCTGCGGCACCAGCAGCGTGCCTGCGCGAGTGGGCGGAGGTAAAGGGGGTGCTGGGGGTGCTTCCCCCTCCTTGTCAACGTGGGATTCAATGGCCACGGTCGCGGAGCTTTGATGATTCCGGGAGAGGCGGTTCGAATGCTGCAATGCTGCCGACGGCGCTGGTGAGAGGAGGGATCTGAGCGGCGGGGAAGGAGGCAGGGGGAGCA